GACTTGCGATCTTTTAGTGTTGCCAGTACTAGTTCTTGTGTGATTCTAATTGTGGCACCGTCATATGTAAATTGTTTTTTTCTTGTTGCTTGTAATATTTTATCCTTGATCTGGAGATTTCAGAATTTGACTATAATATTCCTGTGAGTTTTCCTTGTAGGATCACTTTCAGGTGGTGATAGGTGGATTTTTTGTTTTTTATTTCTACTTTCCCCTCTTGTTCTAATGCTTCAGGACAATTTTCTTTAATTATTTCTTGTATTATTGTATCAAGATTCTTTTTTTGATCAGAACTTTCAGGTAGTCCAATTATTCTTATGTTTTCTCATTTTGATCTGTTCTCTAGGTCTGATGTTTTTCTTATGAGATGTTTCACATCCTCTTCTATTTTTCCATTCTTTGTATTTTGTTTTTTTAGTTCTTCATCTCTTATAACTTCACTGGCTTCCCCTTTCCCAATTCTGACTTTCAAGAAGTCATTCTCTCCCTTAAGATTCTGGATCTTCTTTTCTAATTGGTTGACTTTCTTTTCATAATGTTCTTATTTTTTCTTTTTAGTTTTTCCTCAATATCTCTCATGTGATTTTTTAAAGTCTATTTTAAGTTTTTCAATGAGTTCTTTTTGAGCAGGTGACCATTTGACACTACTCTTTGGGGCAGAAGAGGGGTTTCTTTGCTTCATTATCCTTCTGTGAAGACATACCCCAATCTTCTCTATTCCCATAGTAGCTCTCTATAGTTGGATTCTTTCTTCTTTGCCTGTGCATTTTTTTTTCTAATAGTTTACTTTTGGGTATGAGAGATGGTGCCTCTTCAGTTCTCCCCTCTGACCTTGAACTCAAACCAACACTTCCAGCCTCTTGTAAGTGCCCACAGCCAGCAGTGTCTGGCCCCCCTGCTTCTGCACTCACCAGATATGTTCTGGTTCCTTCTAGCCCCCACCGTTCTCCATAGCACAGCTGGGTCTGGCATTCCTTGGCAGCAGAAATCCCCTCCGTCTTCCCCAGCTCAGAAACCCAACTCCCTTCACTGTTTCGGGGGTAAAAATTCTACAGATTGGTGGGAGGCAGGTCCCATACCAGCTAACCCCAGGGCTTGCAGCTTGTTGTTAAAGCTGACCTGGAAATGTTTACTATTCACTGGGAGGAAATATCGGCAAGTATTTTTCTTCAGATCTTCTCCAACTGTCCCAAGAGGACCCCTCTTCCGTCCCTACTCTTATTTGTTTTCATGGATCTAAGTTCACCCAGAGGCACCATTTCATCTCTTTTGTGGAGAAAAATCTTCAGAGCTTGAAATTTTCTGACCTATTCCACCATCTTCCCAGAATCCTCTCCCATAATACCATTCTTAAAGGAAAAAGCTAGAAGGTGCTAGACATGATGATTGAGGAACTTTTTTTTTTAAATGAACCTGACTAGATTTTAAAAGACAGAAAAGAGCTAGTTATTGATTTAGGAATCATATCAGAATCAACTTTACAATCCAGTCAGATTATTGACTAGTTAAAACAAAGGTCAAAATCAATAACAACTTAGAAAGGAAGGGGAAAAAAATAAGACAAATCACAGAGGGCACTGGTGCAATTACGACAATTACAACAGCTCCAACCAAAGCTATTACAAAAAGGTATTGACTCTGAAAAATGGGAAATGTTTTTAAAGTGAAGAAAATGACTCTGATTGCCACAGATTTCCTAGAGGAATTAAACTGAAGCGTAATCACACAATTTCATTAGAGAATTACAAGGAAACTTAGCAGCCATCTAGTCCAACCCATACATGAAAGGGATCCCCTCGCTGACATAATGGACAAGTGGTCATCTAGACTCTGCTTGAAGACCTGCAAAGAAAGGGAGCTCACTAGCTTTCCTGGCAGCTCATTCAACCATTTCACAGCTTGGATTGTTCTCAAGATTTTCCTGACATCAGACCTAACTTCCACCAGCTATTCGTGGTTCTTCCCTTGGGGGACAAATGGAACAAATCTAATCTTTCTCATGCATGATAGCTCTGAAAATACCTGAAGGGAGCTATCACGTCACCCAAATATTCTTTCCTCCAGGTTCAACATGCCCTATGCATTCAACTGATCTTCATATTTGATGAACTTAAGGCCTTTCACCATCCTGGTTGCTCTCCTCTTGTTATTCTCTAGCTTACCAACAGCCTTCTTAAACCACAGTTTTCCAAACTGAACACAAACCTGACACAAGCATTGGTTGTAAAATGGTTGTTACAACAAGCAGTCCAAAATAACCCAGAAACTACCTCAGACAGCAAATATTTGATCTTCCTGCTAAATGGAGATATGTAACAGCCAAGGACAACACTGTTTTAAAATATTAGATCATTTGTATACAACAAAGGTGATTGTATGCTATTCCATATGATAAGTATGATGCCCTAATATGTGAAATACTGAACAAAAAGCCCTGAATGAATGTTAACCTGTTTATTACATATCTAACTTGCTTTGGAGTCAGAAGAACAGCTGGGGACAGTTAGGGATTAAATCAGATATTTGGGCCAAAAGTAGTCTTACAGGCACACGTTAGGAAGTAATGGTCATTTGTTCAAGTTCTCAATCAATCAACAAATATTTAGTAAGCATCCAAATGGGTAACACAGGTAGCAATTGGCAGGTACTTAGTGTGTATTTCCTACCTTACTTATAATAATAATAATACCTTTCCTAATCAAAACTCTAATAAGTTTGCCTATGTGAAATGTAGCTGAAAATTTGGAGGAATCAAAAAAGTCCAAAATCAGTTTCAAAAGTCTAATCACTCAAGTCTTCCTCAGACTTCCTCATTGGTTTAGTCATAAATCATTTAGAGAAAATTCCTTAGTCATTCATTGTACAACTAACAACCTAATAGTGAAGGAAAAGTAGGAAATATAACAAAAATCAGACAAAAACTCTAAGTGCACAGCAATCTGGGACCTTGTAGTACATTGCTTACTGTCTTCTACTTTGCCAGAACAATAGACCTCATCTAAATCATCTTTCTCACAACTTGACCTGAGACATAGCCAAGAATCAAGAGAAAGAAAAAGTCCAAAATCTAGGTCTAGTCACTCATTTTGCTCAGAATTCATTGATCAGTTTAAGTCATAAATCACTCATGGTCCCTGACGGTGAAGGCGAAAAAAAACAGAAAAATGATTAAAAGGTAGACTCAAGAACTTGAAAAGTTCAGCTGTCTGGGACAGTACCTAGCATACAGTAGGTACTTAATAAATGTTTATTGGCTGATTGACCATGTAGTGAGTGTTATACATCCTGTACAACTAAATAGTTCCTGAGGCCATCTGCTTCAAAGGACAATCACTGACACTTAATATGGTTGTGCCTAAATCATCAGGTTAAATTATTTTCAGTATCTTCTATTTAAAAAGCAAGGAATGAGTAAAAACATTTTTGGGAAAAAAATCATTAAGATGTGTTGTTGGAGGTGGCTCTAACCCTCCACTCTCTTTGTTCAGGTTCAGTGTTGATATAAAATGAGGCATTCACAAGTAATTGAACAATTAACAAAAAGAAGTTTACTTTGCCCTAACATATAACAAGAATAAAGTAGCATTTAGTTTCTCTAGACTCAGCCCTCCTTATATTCATATGGAATTGTATCTGGTCATTTCTGGGCAAGATATGATGAAGGACATAGTGACTCAAATCATCTTCAGAAATCCACCAAGTCTGAGAGGCCTATATTCTATGTCATTTTTCACGCCCTTAGGTGGCCAGGAAGCTATATCAGGGAAGCCAGGGATCAATCAGGTCCTTGGGGCAGCTTTGTGTCCTTTTAGGCAGAGCTAACCCTTAGCTCAGGAGGGAAAGAAAGGAGACCTGATCTATTTTATGTTGTGGATAGAAGGAAAGAAGCTACATCTGGGAAACATTGAAAAATATTATTTTAAATACATTATTGTTTTATATACATATATATTACATAAATAAACAAAAGTTTATGGGCTAAAAGAAAAACATCCTAAGGTACCCCCTCTCCTCTACCCTTGTCCAGGTGCTTATCTCCCTCCTTCCTTCTTATTTATGTAGCACCCCTACAGGGTAACTTTCTTCAAATCCCACTTACATTGGTAGTCCAGGTTTCCATAGGATGGTTGCTACTCCTCCCTCAGCATTCTAGGAGTAATTCTAAGGGGTAGGAGGTTTCTCTAGGACTTTTGTTCATGAGACTTTACTAACTAGGTTCCCCAATATCAACTAGCTAGCCAAAGTTTATTAAAAACTCTTAGAAAAGGATATTTACTGAAATACAGTAAAACAGTAAGGAATAAGAACAGTTCGTACAAAAACATCCACACAAAAGTCTGGGACACACTACCACAAGTACATTTGGAGTCTACGGGTAAGGGGATTTGAGCTTAGAGAGCAAGTGTGGCAAAGGAGTAATTCACAGCTTGAGGTTGGATGAAAGTCTTTCCTCCTTTTCTGAAGTTCTTGTGAAGTTGCTTTGAGATGTGTATAGCTCTCTGTTGGGTCCTAAGTATCAAGTCCCTTGTAGAATCCTAAAGAAGCATTTCTCTATGCCCAGAACAGCTCATACTCCCTGAAAGTGTATTTCATCCACATGTCTAATTTGTCTTGCCTTATTTCCTTGATAAATGCATTGTTTATTACCAAACCACTCCAATAACAGGGCCAAAGGTGGAAGGGAGGAGGTGGTTGGGAGGAGAATACAACACTGCCTCTGGGTTCTCTCGGTCTCCCACTTTCTGCCCTATGCTTTTAGGAAAAAGGTCTGGCTCTTCAAAACATTCCCAAAGTGCTTTACTGCTCAAATCCCTTCTCTGATGACTAGGCTCAGAGATAGGTCTAATTCTTTCAACCAGTTCCAACAGATTTTGTCATCTGATTACATCCAATGGTACAAAGCATTCCTTATTTGCACTTTTATACCTTTGATTGATTGGTTGATTTAATAAAGATGGCTAGGAATTTGATTGATTTTGACCAAATTTAATGATTGATTTTGAACATTCAAGAGGTATTCTCAACCAATAAAGACATGGGTGGGGTAGAGCATATTGTTAGTTAACAACAATTAGGGTTGGGGGTGTATGTATACAAAACATTTTTTCCTACAACTATTTAAGCAGATAGCTAAAGGAAGAAGCAAAGCCAGGAGCAGGTGGGCTATGCAATTAGTAATTATGCCACCATCACCAAGGTACTTAAGGAGGAAGATTCTGGTAGATTATAAAGCCAGCCACAACATTTTTGTCTTTGAGCATATTTGACTATCATCAGAGAGCGGAATGGGACTTAGTCAGTTTCTAGGGATCAGGAAGGTATAGCTATGATATCTGGCTCTTTAAGGAATTTCTCTAATTTAGTTTTTTTTTTTTTCTGGGCGTCCTGTCCCATAATGCACTAACCTGAGAGAAGTCAGACAAATGAGGGGGATGGGGATGTCGTATCTACAACTTCTTTCCTCTGGTGGATATCTTATGAATTGTAACTGTGCTTAACACTTCCTTAAAACATAAGGGGCAAGTTGCAGGGAAAGAGAAATCTTGTGATGATAAAACAATGGAGATACAGTTTAGGCTGCATATCTGGAACTTCCACCTCCTCCATCATTATAGGGACAAATTATAGTTTGAGACATAACATTATCTCTATCTTCAGTGCTATTACTTGGCTTTATGCATAGGCAAAGGTGTTAATTGCCTCCTTGGTATGATTTCAAAGGCTTTGGGAAGGCTAAATGATTCTAATAAACAGCAACAAAAAACTCCCCCACGTGCTGGTTAATACCTAAAGTTATACCTCTGTATTACAGGCTTTGATCCCTATTAAAATTAAAATACCCCAGAGAAGGGGAAAACTAAACTTTATCAGTCATTTATAACTTAGTATAAATAGTTTCAAATCCTCTTCTATGAGCAGATTTTGATGAGGGATCACGGAAGCAAGAGAATGGGAACTCAGAAAACAAACTTGCCTACTTGGCAACTTTTCTGAGGGACAGTCTTGGTCATTGGCACAGGATTTAGTCAACAGCATGTGAAATATGTGTGGACATTTCCAAGGTTTCAGTATACTCCAAACCCTGTTAGAAGACCAGAAAAGTGAGTAGCAGCAGCTGCCTGGTCCTTCTTCCCCTTGACTGATGATTCTTATGTCCCAAACTTGAAATCTGAAAGGAAAAGAAACTGTTATCACCTGTCACTGTGCTTAGCAAATGTGCTTGCTGGTCAATTGAGTAAGTCATTCATTCATTCAGCAAGCATTTATTTGAGTACCTACTACGTGGTAGTCAATGAAGGGAATACAAAGTTAAATAGGACTTGCTTGCTGTCCTTTGAAATTATGAAGTACAGAAACAGAATGGCCACTAGGCCAGAGATTGTGACCTATTTACTGCATGAAGTATTTTTTAAAAGACATTTTGACATAAGTGTAGAGACCATGTGGCATAGTAAAAAGAGTACTGTCTCTAGAGTCAGAGGCTCTGGATTCAAATCTCACCTCATCATACCTTGGACAAATCATTCTGTCACCTTCAGTTTCCTTATCTATAAAGTGAGGGGGTCAGACCAGTTGGCCTATACATCTACGTTACCTTAATGAAGGTCACAATTTTTTTGAGCAACTATTAAAATATAATTTTTATCTTACAAAAAGAATTTTCATATGGAATAATAGAAAGAACACAGGCCTTAGAGTTGAAAGACTCAGGTTCCCATGCCAACTCTAAAAGTTATTAGCTGTGTACCACAGGGTGTCATTTATGAGTCTCAATTCCCTCAGCTATAAAATGGATGTGTTAACTTGCATTGCCTATCTCATGAAGTTGTTATTTTGTTTTATTTTATTTTTGTTTTGTTTTATTTTTCCATGGGAAGAAAAGGTGTTTATTGATGGCACAGTGAACAAAGAAGGTTGAGGAGGGCTCTCTCTCCTCTAGACTTGTAACAGTTGAGGCCTAGGTATGGGCTGGTCAGTTTCCCACAGAGGCTAGGGGAGGTATGCATTCTATCTCCTTCCTGGATGAGAGCACTTTCTAAACCTTAAAAATTATTATTTAATCTTATTATGGAAGAAGGAATAATATGTTACAGTTCTAGGGAGGGGTCAAGAAGAGCTGGATGTAAATTTCACATTTACTAGCTGTGAGACCCTGGACACAAACTCCCTGGTATTTATCTATTAAATTGTAAATTATTTTGAGACCTGAGTTGGTGAAAGTGGGAAATCCCTATGACAACATATTATCATTATTATTAATTTATTTCTGGGAGTGGGGAGGTAGAGAAGGAAGGAGGAAGGAAGGAAGGAAGGAAGAAAAAAGGAAGGAAGGAAGAAAAAAGGAGAAGAAGGAAAAAGAAGGGAGAGAGAGAGGGAGAGAGGGAGAAAAAAAAAAGAAGAGAATGAGTTGTAGATGGAGAGAGAGCTGACCTTGAAGTTGGAAAGACCATGAAGGCTGTGTGACCCTGAGTAAGTCAGTTAACTTCTCAGTATGCTAGTAAATGCTCTAAGACTACAAGGTGCAGAGATAGTACTGACCTGCATTGGTATGAGGGAAGGAGCTTCTTCACCAAGGATCTCCGTAGACCAATGAAATCACAGATCCAGTCTCTATCCCTTTCCTCTCTTACTTACCTTTTTTTCTTTTCCTTTGTCTCCTCATGTCTTTCTTCCCTGTTCTATTCCTTTCCTTCCATGTCCATGCACAAAAATGACTGCAAATTGGAGCAGAAGGGGAGGGGAAAATGAATGCATAAAAATGTGGCTCATTAATACAATTAGCTATTTCATAGTTAAAGTCAAAAGATACCATTTCACTTTAGAGTCTAACCAGACCGTCATTTCTATAGTGCCCTGACAAACCTAATAAGGAAGATCATCAGTCTTTACTAATGGAGCTTTCTAATGGATGATGGAGAATACATAGGTTGTGTGTGCTTTAAGAGTGAGGCTTTTAAGTAAATTACACACCAAGAGAGCTTTACTCAGTTGTAAATATAAGATTCATCTCCTTGATCTTCATCAAACTCTCACTTGAATCAACTACCACTAGTAAACCTTGGGAGGAATCTGTCACGGAGTGTATTATATTTTCATTTTAACTTAGTTCTCCATACCCTAATCCACTGATTAAGAAGAACACTATAAGAAAAACACATTAAGAAAAATACCAAAAATATTGGGCTAAGTTGAATGATCCTCCCATATGCTGTTCCCTGCTTCTTCAGAGAACACATAGGAAAATTAAATTCTTTACACCTTTCATTTGGTTCTTGATGTCCAAATAAATTGGTTACTAAAGAACAGTGTTGTCAAACTCAAATAGAAATGGGGACCATTAAACTGTGCATGAAGAGTCCTACAGTCCTCATATTGACTGGAAAAAAAGCCACATATTAACATTATCTATTTTCTGTCATACTTTTATGTCTTTTGTTAAATATTTCCCAATTACATTTTAATTTGATTTGGGTTGTACCAGGAGTGTTGCAGCCTGCATGTTTGATACTTCTGCTATAGATCACACCAAACACCAAAGAAATCAAATGGAGGAGAGACTTTTAGTTAGAGCTATAACTAGGGTAGGGCATCTGGGGGTTTGACACTTAGATCAAAATTCTCTAGTGTTTTTTTTTTTAGTGTATTCTAATAGCTCTGTGGATTAGGGTATCTAAGGGGACCAATTCCCAATCTTGTGCCTTGTGGTTATCCACTGGCTTGAATCCTTGAGGAGTTTGGGGAGGGAGGTACACAAGGAAAAAAGCAAAAGAATTCAGATATATTAGTACTGAAAATTGGGGGAAATTAGCTACTTCTCTTCCCCAACAACTGAACTACAGCAAAACAATTGTCTTATGACTATTAGTTCCACCTCCTTCCACCTGGAACCTTTCCCCCTATTCCCTCTCCTCCCATTCTTATGTTTACCCAGCTCAGGCCTAGCACCTCCAGTTCCTATCCTCTGCCGCTTAGAACCTTCCACTATTACTAATAAATTACCCTTTATCCTAGCTCTCTTCCTCTCATTCCTTCAGTCTTCCATTTCCCACTGACAACCTACATCAACTGTGCCCATTCTCATCCCACCCTATCTAGCCTCAATGTTCTTGTTCATGCCATCTCACTTCCTGAAATTCATTCCCAGTCATTCATCTCCCTTCTTTCAAGGCCCAACTCCAGTGCCACCTTCTCGTGAAACTCTCCTTGATGTGCCCTTCAGCCAAAAGTGATTTTTCCCTCTTCAAATTCTTCATAGAAATGTCTGAACTCCTCCTTTCCTTTTATCTCATTCTTTCCTATATTAAATAGCATTTAAATAAAGACAAAAATTAGAATTCTTAATAAAGAAACTAACTAGTAGAACAGTAGAGAATATTGAGAAAGAGATAATGTTTTATAAAACAGCAAATTCTCTGAAAAAGAGAGTGACAGAATATGTATGCAAAAATGCAAAGGCAAAAGGAAAATTAATGGAACAAAATAAAAACAAAATTAGAAGACATAAAAAACCATGAAACAAAAATATTGAAATAGAAAATAGGACACAATGAGAAATCTAAGCATTATATTTATTCCAAAAAAACATAATTTAGAGGAAAATATGAATGCAATGCTTCATGAACCCATGTATAAAAATTGCTCAGAAATATTGGAAATGGAAGGTGAAGTAGAGATTGAGAGAATATTCTGCAAAGGCAAAGATCATTTAGCATCCCAAAGTAACATATTCTGCAAGGCTAATTCTAAACATTAAATAAAGTAACTGAATATTAAGCTAAAGGAAAGAATTTGATTCACTCCTTCAAAAGAACCTTAGGTAAGCAAGGTGTTCAATATGCAAACTGATCAAACAAGAGAAAGTTAAATACTTTGAGATAGAAATAAAAGACTCAGAAATGAAACATTTGTTTTTTCTGTGCCTAGGGCTGGAGAAAGCCATAAATCTGGAGTATGGGATTCTTTTTTGTTTATTGTTTGATTTTCTTTAGTGAAAAAAAAACACACAACATTCATCGAGAGACTTTAAGAAGGTAAAGGGAGCATCAATGGACTATGGAATCCAAGGAGCAAAAAGTATAATAGGAAAAATCAGGAGGAGAGGAGGAAAAATTGAACATTTCAGGGACCAAAAAAAAAAAAAGTCATTCCCTCAATAAAACAGTATTGATTCATTTCTTATATTCAGAAGAAATTTTCTCAGGTTGAAAGAAAAGGTGAGATGGGGGTCCAGGAAAAGACTAATTAGAATTCTAGAGGAGAGGAGAATGAGAGATTTTCTATTTTTCTCCTTATATTTAGGGTGATAGGTAAGTGAGAAAAGAAAATTGAAGGGCAGATCGAGGAGGGAGGAGTAGGAGTTGGGTCCTGACAGCTAAAAGAGAATGCTTTGGCAGCATTGTGAAGAGGAGGGAGGAGAAAGGACAGGAGTCTCTGGTAATGAAGGCTTGAGGTGGGGGTAGGGGAGTTCAGCTATTCCGAGACTGGGTCGTACATGTAGGTACTAACTCCCACTATGAGGGAGGATGTGACTGGATCCCAGGAGTTATTGCTTGGAAAGAGTTGAACAGGGAACCTCAAAGGGAGTGTGATATGACATCAAAAGGGACAAATGATGGGGGAAAGGAAAAGAATAAGAGTAGATCCCCCTCACTTGGATTACAAAGAAATTCTCACTATCCATATGTTAAATATGTTGTGATAAATATTCATACGTTAAATGCATATATGCATATATTATGTGTATGCACACACATAGTTTTTTATATAATTTATTTGGTTATAGTTATTATAACATATAATCATTATTTTATGTAGGCTGAGCTGATTCCCTTTTAAGGGGACTGGGAAGCTGCTTTTGAAATTATTCTTGGTTTGACTTCCTTGCCACCTGAAGTATCAAAGTCCCAGCTCATGAAAAGTTGGTGATGGTGGTTTAGCAGATTTCCTGTTGCCCTGCAAAGGCACCTTTCTAATCTAATGAACTCATTACTGTTATGAATTCTGAAATAGAGAGAAGTTGCACTCTTTAGTTATGTCATTTTAAAATCTTAAGTAGCATTGTTTTGTTGCATTTTTATGGATCATGAATGTCTAATTGCATTCTAATCCTAAACCTGAATCACTGCATTGGTTGAAGTTAGGCTTGGCTAAGAATACAAGGAGATTGGCAAGTATTTACTCAAAACTTGCTATGTGCCCAGTATGGTACTATGTGCTATGGATAAAAAGACATTAATAAAAAAGTCCCTTATAATTAAGATTCAGAATAAGGCATGTTTTGGGGCACATCATATGTGGAAATTTGTTTTACTTTATATGTGTTTTTACAAGGGTTTTGTTTTTCTTTCTTTTTGGGGAGAGGTTGGAAAGAGAGAGAATAGGTGGGAGGAAGAAAAAAATGCTTGTTAATTGAAAGAAAAAAGAAAGAAAGAAAACCTTACCTCAAGAACTTTTATTCTGTCAGAGGGAGACATGTATAGCTATAAATATAAACAAAATAATTACAAGGTAGGAGATTTAGTTGAGCTTTGAAAGAAGCTTGTTATCCAGGAGGTAGAGGTAAGGAGGGCTACGTTATAGAACTAGACAAAACAATAAAAAAAACTTCATTTGGAGGAAAAGTTATCTAGAATGTCAGTGAAAATAATGAGAAGTACAAATGAAAGGGGTATAGCATTACCGAACCTCAAACTGTATTTTATAAAGCAGCAGGCATCAAAAACCTTTGGTACTGATTTAAAAAAAAAAAAAAGTAAACCCATGAAGCAGACTAGATAAACAAGAAACAGAATCAGTTGAAAACAGCAGCCTACTGTTTGATTAAACCCAAGAATATAAATTACTGGGGAAGGATTTTTTTTAATAACTGTTGGAAAAACTGGAAAATAATTTGGCAAAAAAAAAGGTTTAGATCAACATATTACACCGTATTTCACAATAAGCTCAAAATGGATATGGAATGTGAATGTTAAAAAAATTACATCATTTAAAAATTCAAAAAGAAAGAGACAGTACCTTTCACAACTATGTGGGAGTTGGCATAAGACAGGAAGGGTTCTACTTCTTGAAGCATGTGTCTATAGGGATCATCCCATGGGATGTGCTGCACAGCTCCCCTGGCAACTTCCTGGGATTTGAACATATGTAGCCCAATTCTGAAAGAGGTGCAACCATCAATGTGCTGGTAAATGTTGTAACAGCCATCCCCCCCCAAAAAATGTATTCATAGCATACTTTTCAGCTTTGTCTGCATTATTAACACTTTCTCCATCACTTTCTCAACTCTAGACAATCAACAAAATAATAAATCAAGTCCTGATTTATAGCTTCTGCTGGTTTTTGAGGTTTAAATGCTCACACTGAAAATTACTATTTTCTCTGAAAGCTGGTTTGAGCTGGCCCCATCACACTGATGCTATATTCCCATGAGTGATGTCAAAAGATCATAAAAATGCAACAAAAACAATGTTACTTAAGATTTTAAAATTACATAATTCATAAAAATGCTACTTCTCTCCATTTCAGAATTCATAACACTAATGGGCCCACATGATCAGAAAGGTGCCTTTGCAGGGCAGCAAGAATTCTGCTAAACCACCATCACCAACCCCACATGGGCTGGGTTTTTTATGCCTCGGGGGGGCAAATACCATCAAAATACAATAAAGTTGCATTTTACAAATTAAATGAAGAAAAACATATGAGCCATTGGTTCAGAGAGAAGCTTGTGGTCATTTAAAGTGCTGCGCAATTTCTCAAATGTAGTACACCTTGCTTTCTTATTCTTATTCAGTTCTGGATCCAGTTCATTGTCCATCTGATAGTCATGTATATTTGTGCAGGAGAGAAACAAGGGAGAAGAAAGCAGTCGGTCATTTTCTATGCATTTATTAAGTGCTTACTACATGCCAGACACTGTGCTAAGTGCTGGGAATACTAGAATGGTCAAAATAAAACAAAAAACTCTTCACTCACAGAGCTTACATTCTACTGAGGTAAACAACATTTAAATAATTATATACGTACAAGATAGACACAGAGTAGATGGAAGGTCATCTGAGAGGGGAAGGTACTAGCAGCTAAGGCATCAGGAAAGTTTTCCTACAGATGGTAAGCTTTGAACTGGGTCTTGAGGGAAGCCAGGGAAAATAAGTGGGGGAGAAAAGTGGGATGGGGGGAAGAATATTCCAGAAATGAGGAATGCAAAGATATAGAGGGGAGAGTATCTAGGTCCTGTGAGGGTTGAACTGACTTTTCTGTCCTGAATGTAACTGTATGTTTACATTACTGATAACTCCTATCCTTATTTGAGGTTTTTTGTGGAGCCAGACAAAATGATCAAATCTGCTTGTGTTTATTCATTAATTCCTAAGGTTAATTGCTGGGGGCCCTTTAAAAAAGGCACACACTCTTTTAAAATGTACTAAGAGTCCCTAATAAACAAACCATTAGGCTGAGTATGGAAGTATTGACACAGGACAATCTATCGACTTTCTGATCAACAATCTCTGTGCAACAAATACAAGTGGAGAGGTTTCTGATTCCAGTTTTATCACACTTATGCTTATATATACTTACACCTAATGTCAAGACATATTCTTCTGGATTTACTGTTTTGCTACCATGGAAGACAATTGGATTATGATAAATATATCGAGGCATATTCTTTACCTTAGACTGGACCAAAAATCCGTATGTGTGTGTGTGTGTGTGTGTATTCAGTGACCTAATCATAGAATTTTAGCACTTGAAGGTACCTGAGAGATCATTTAGTCCAACCTCCTTTAAAAAATTAGGAAGCTAAGGCTCAGAAAGGTAAAGCTTTCTTTACTCAAGGTCACAGAGCTTTCAAGTGGCAGAGACAGGACTAGATCCTAAATCTCAAATTGTAAAATATGTAATATCTATTCTGGATTGTACCTCCATGGAAGCATTGGGTCAAAAATGTAAGAAATCTTCATTTCTATCTGCAAGCAATAAACACACACAGAAATAAAAATTTAAGAATAAATGAATGTTTCTGTGGGACTACCCTTCCACAAGCCTGAAAACATTTGCTCCTTAGGCTTAGTTGTGTAGCCTGGGGGTGCCTTAGCTCATTTATATGGTGTTAATATTTAGTAGCAAATTCAAATCAAGCCAACAGTTCTCTTTATAAGAGTTATCCCAATGGAGTTTGTATGGTATTTGCATTAAAATCATCACACCACCCTTTAGGCAATGAGCCAGTGATCATTGGCTCCAGGTCTAGACCAGAAGGAGAAACTCATCATACTGGTTTGACTGTCTTAGGGTGAATGGAAAGCAGTGAAGTCAAAGGATTCTTATATTTATTCAGTTCAACCAACATTTTCTTATTTGTTTATTTATATGTTTGTTTTACTAGAACTGTGATTTCATCTCTGTAAGGACCCCCAAGGAAGGAAATTGTTCTAATGCAGTCCAGCACCTTCTCTGCAATGTATAGTTTCAGAGAGTTACCTGGAGCCCTGAGAGGTTTAGTGATTTGCTAGACCCCTAGCCCTGGAGGTGTCAAAAACAAAACATCCCCAACCTTTTAGGAGCTTAAATTCTGCTGAAGGAGGTGGTATTCGAGCTGTGTTTAGAAGAAAGGGATTCTATCCATTGGAAATTAGGAGGATCATTCTAGACATAGGTGAGAGTTCATCATATTTAGTCAGCCACAGATCCGCCAAGCTGCTGACTGTCTTCACGCTCTACTGCTACTCGTCTTCCTCTGCCTCTGCCCCACAGGTCTCCCATAGCCCACCTCTGTTTCCACCTCAAACTCTGGGAACAATAATCATAACAACACGAGGATTCTTAGGAAGGACTGTCGACACAGGATCCTGTATGGTAGTAGCACATTATTGCAAAGTTGGAGCTAAAAGGGATCTTTGAGGTCATGTCTAATGCAATATTATGGGTGAGGAAACTGATATGCCCACAGTCACACAGCTAGTAACTATGGGAAATAGGATTCAACCCCAATTCTTCCTGACAGCAGTTCTACCACTCTAACCATTATACAGTCATATCTCTTAATAGGTTGTCCATTGTACTCACCATCCCTGTAACTTCCTAAGTTACCAGTCCATGGTCACCACTCCCCTGTAAGTTCTGTCTTTCAGACAAATCTTACCTTTTAGTGCCTTTTAGAATATAAACTTCTTGAAGGAAAGAACTATCTTGCTTTTTGTGTTTATATCCCCAGTTCTTAACATAGTATCTGGCACATAGCAAGCACTTAATTAATGCACTTTAATTCATTTCATTTGTTCAAATGCATAAAGTAGAGAGGTGAAGATACAATGTTATCTATAGGGAACAGCTGGAAAGGGGTGGTTTGACAGAAATAGAGAATGTGGGAAGGGAAGGAATATGAAATAAGATTGAAACAGTAGATAAGAGGCAGATTGTGGAAAGCTTTAAATGCTAGGCTGAGGAACTTGTATTTCATTCTAACGGCAATATATAAGGAGTCATTGAAACTATTTTTGTGCTGGTCATATTTGTGTCTTAGGAATCTCAGTTTGGAGAATAGATTGGAGAGGGGGAAAGTGGAAGCAGGAAGACCAGTTAGGTACAATCCAGATTTTTGCAATGGTACAATCCAGATGCAAGCTAAAATTGATTTGGGGGGGAGGAAGGGGAAAAGGAAGGAAAAAGAAAGTGATACAAACTATTTTTAAAATAGTCGCAGAATCACTGGCATATTGCATTTTTTATCCTTTATAATATGCTTTTGACCTTTTTTGTCTTTTTTTCACCCTTCTGATCCTGTTTGAAGACCTATACTCTAATGGTGTTAACGTTCAGTTAAGTGTCTACTATGTGTCAGGCACCATGCTAAATGCTGGGAATACAAAAAACATAAAACACGACAGGCCTAGACCTCAAGAAGTTTCCTTCCACACAGGGAATACAACATGTACACAGAGAAGTAAATACCAGCTAATTTGAAGAAAGAAAGAACACTATTAAAATAAAAAAGGAATTATCTGCCCCCAAATAGTCATAATTGCTTTATTTGTAAGAACAGAAAGCTGGAAACAACCATGGATATCTAATGTTTGGAAAATGGCCAAATAAATGATGATATAGTTATGCAATAGAGAGCCTCTGTGTCTTATAGTTAAAGGCTCCATTGCGATCTCCCAAGTCCTATGCTTTTTTTTTTCCCCCACGATCCCCCATGCATCCTCTTTCCTTTGCCTAAGGAGCCTGCCATTGGAGAACTTCCCAATTTACAAGCTTGGGGTCATAACCGAGCTAATCTGACAGAAAATCTCATCTTCCCTGAAACCTTTTCTCCAACTAGGCTCCTAATGCTAATGGAGTTCTGGAATGGTTTCAAATATTTTCCCTGCACTCAAACCCAATTTCTTTTTCTGGAAGTTGGCCAAGACTCTGTGTCATCAGTTTCGTTACCTTTATTGGTTCACATTGAAAGGAAATGCATGTACTTGACCACCAAGGAGAGGTTTGAAAGGGTGGGGGTGGACTGGCATAATCTATAAAATTAAATAATGATTTTTAGGCTTCTCATGTCATTTCAAACACCACAACTTGATGGTGAGCTTTTCCATCACAAAATTGGTTCCTTTCCAGTTTCCTGCCTACTGCCTCTCACAGAGGAGTCTGCTCTGTTGTTCATTACAGAATCAGAGAATCTCAGAGTAAGGAGGAAACCATGTTATCTAAAGCTGAACAGAAACCACTCTTCACAAGTCAGCTTCTGCATGAAAACTTCCAATGATGGTGGATTAGGCCACGTGATCTTTAATATTCTTCTGTTTTACAAACCATGATCACCCAAGACAAGCCCTTCTACTTTTGGATAGCTCTTGTTGTTAAGAAGTTTTTTTTCCCTTTCATTACGCCAAAATCTACCTCTCTCTTTCACATTTATCCCTGTTAAAATTTTATCTTATTAGATTCAGCCCATCATTCTACTCCATAGCAATCTTTTTGGATCCTGTATCTGTTGCCTACCATTAGGTATCCCTACCAGCTTTGTGTTATCTGTAAATTCAGTTAGAATGCTATCTATGCCCTTATCTGTGACTTTAATGAAAATATTGAATAGCGCAGTGCCAAAGATAGATCCCCAGGGCACTACACTAGAGACGTCCTTT